TTCTACCATAAAGGTCACCAAGGTGCTTTTCCTGTCACACCATGAAACACCCACGTTTGTGTCGTGGTCGTTGCATCAGCCTTATTTTTATCTTGAAGGGCTTTCAATGGGGACCAACATTTTGTTTTAGTTGGCAAAGAAGAAACACACTCAAAGAAGGAATGTACACCCATTGTGCTTTGATGTAATTTATCCAAAGCATCATAACACAAAGAAAATGTAAAATGCATACGGAACAGATTTTTTTGCATTTTACTTTTTGTTCCTTTTTTTTTTGTGATTAGTGATTAGGAACAATTATTTTAAAATACATGAAAACACTACACACAAACATTAAATATAAAGTCAGTTTCAGACAGTTTGGATTGAAATGAAAGTGTTCACTCAGTGGGGGGTCAGAGTGAGTGTGTCTGTCTGCTAGTCAGGGTGAGGTTTCTGAACATCAGGTCATATTGTGAAACCACATTTATAAATCATTGGGACCAGCCCCTCAAACCTCCAGCATCTCACAGTCAGCGTGTGTGTGTATGTGTGTGCTTACCACCCACTTCTAAACACCCCCTACCCCTCCTCTCTGTCTCTGCTCCATCACTGGCCTCAGTCCAGCATTCTCTTACCTCCCTCAGAGATCCTGACCAGGGCTTCTTTATAACGAACTAACCTCTAATGTTTGTCCTGCTTTGCCTCCAGCAGTCTCCCACTGTAAGAAGTGGTTAACAGGTTATGCTAGCCGGACCGTGTCTAATGTACCTAAATGGCCCTTGACAACCACAGCGACCTGTTAATGACTGGACCGTCCTGTGGTCGTGGTCACTGAGAACTGGTCAGTTTATGGTCACCCATTAATGTCTGGTTTTGGAGCTTCGGAAGCAACTACATTTGCCACCGTGAACTAACAAGAGGAGCCCACACCATGACTGGTGGCCGGTACAATTATGGGCTGCATCTGGTAGGGTCTCATGATTAACAACAATACAATAGGGATCCTATAATTTTGTATTCCCCCATACAGTTTGTATCTCTTTCATCCTTAATAATTTAAAGTGTAGCCTAGTATAGAACATTTAAATTGGGAAGTTATGCAGACATTTCTGTTGGGTTTTTTAAAAATGTATTTATAACCTACAGACAGCTGACACTTTGAATCTGACTGTTGTGTGCTACTACTTCCTAATGGGAATGTACTGGTTTTTGAAATTCAATGTGATATGTGATGAAAAATTTCATCATTAGCTCATTCATTCCACTGCATCTATTTCCATGTACAGAGTGAAACAGTACTTATAATTTCAAATGTAAAAAGCCCCCTTCTTGCACAAGCTGCGTTGCAATTCAAGTCATCACGCCTACACTGGTGCATTATGCTATGAGTGTGTGTCTGCTGAACTAATGCAAATAACACTTTGTGTTTAACAAGTCAAGAGTATTCTAACAATGGTGTTGGATCCTGTGGACGAGAGAAGGTGGTCGACAGTACGTGCCAGTATCGCTTCTCAGCAGCAGCTATTGGCCAACCAGCTTTCACATCCTCCTTCAGTAGGCACACTTTGTTCTTGGTGTGGCACTGAAAGGAAACTCCTTTCCGTTTATATGGTTGAGCAACTGCTGCGCTCATAGCCAATCACTGTCACTGGTCCAGGATAGAGGTGAAAGAACAATTTACTACACATCAGAATTAATTTGTTATCAGTTCAGCCTCATCATGTCAAGAGGGCATGCCATAGGTCAAGCTGATAGTGGTGTGCCCTCTGTTGGATCATGAGGGAAACTACTTTAAACAGTCTGTTGCACTTATATACTGTAAATTATAAATTAGAAACAGGTAATTACACAAAACACATTTGAACAAATGTTTAAATTTTGACACAAAGATATCATACTTTGGTTGTTTGACAGTAAGGTCTGTTCTGTTTGACCGTGCACTCTAAAAGACATGCGCAGTGTTCTATAGTGAAGATATATTGTCGACACTTATTCAGACTCCAAACTGTGTGTGTCTCCTCAAAGTCTGTGTGGATGCACTCATACCCAGGAGTGGGGATCCCACTCGTTTTGGAGGCCAGGCGTTGGTTTCTGCAGGTCGCCACAGGAATGCCAGCAATGTTGCCTCCATTGTGGATCCCATTGGGTTAGAGAGAGGAACTTTGTGCCTCTGTCAGTACTGATGTGTATTTTAGTGGCTGCAAACATCATCTACATCAGACAAACCTCACAGTAGACACAGTTAGGAGGTTGAATAGTTATTTTAGCATACACACATAAACCCTCACCACCACTTTGTTTATAGTAAACAGTGTATAAGGTAGAACAATAGTTTCTCTCAGAGAGAAAGAAATGCTTCCTGCACTGTGTGTTTTGTATTTTTCTCCTGATATTAGTCCTCTACTATGCCTTCGTAGGAAAAGAAATGTGTGTTTGTGTGTCACCAAGTGAGAAACAAAATGAGACAGATGGCAGCTACCTGGATGTTGTAGGTTGGGCTGAAGATTAATGGTGAGTCACATGGACAACATGAGATGACTGGGCTTTTGTGTAAGGTGAGAAGCAGTGACACAGCATTTGACAGAGAGAGAGCAAGAGAGAGCAGGTACTCCGAGTCACGCAACACTCTCTGTTGGCAGGCTGTCTGTGTGTGTTTGGTAAACACACATTACCTGCGATAGAGTTGGAAGGGGTGAGCAAGAGGAATATGGTCTTTCTTGGCCACACAAACATACTGCTTGAGGAGTCTGTTTGTGTGTGTGTGTGTGTCAGATCAGTGTGATCTCTCTGGAGAGTCAGTGGGCTGGATATGGGTCTAGGGAGTATCCAGTCTGACTGGGTCAGTGCTGGGAGTTTCTTGACTTCTCCCTCTGGGTCACTTTTTTTCCTTGATTTTTTTTTTTTGACTTGATTTTCCGATTTGTCTAATGCTTTTGTAAGAAAACAAGTGTTTAAACATTAGACCCTTTCTCTTTAAGTCCTGGGAGTGGTTTTTTTTGTAGATATTATCACAGTATTAATAAAATGGGACTGTGCCTACTTGCTAATACTGTGTGTATAGAAACTAATCTGTGTCATCAAAGGGAGTGCACTGTTCCTAGAGAAGACATTGCTGTTTCCTGTTGCCTCACACATCACTGTCCTGCTCTCCCACGTCCCGTCCTGTCCTGCCTTGTCCCATGCAGCTCCGGAAGTTCCAGCCCCACCCCAGGGTTGCCTCTTCATTTTGGCGCTATATTGCATAATGCCAAACTGGCCCTGTGCGTCACTGGGAGCACCCTTCCTACACACACATACGCATGAGCGTAAACACATGGAATAGACAGAGTACACAGTGCACGATTACATCGGCCCACTCAATTGACCTGCCTTTATTTGCAGGGATCTCACTAGTGTTCAGAGTGTAACATACTTTCTTACATGCAAAGTTACATGACCTTTTTTTTCCTGACTGGATCCTGTTCAGTATAAAACTTAATCAAACATTGTGCTCTCAGACGATGTTATCAACCCTATTGTCCTAATGAGTCAGTGTAGAATGACCAAAGGCCATTTGTACAAATAGTTTCCTTCTTTTTCTCAGTAAACTTAACTGAATTTATACTGCAGGAATTAAATGGTTTTCACAGAAATTTTACTTTTTGTACCATGTTCTGTTCAGCAGGCAGGGCTCACATTTTGACTACAAAGGAAATTTATTTTTTCTTCAAAACAGGTGTGTTAAATGAAATTCAACCATTTAATGATGAATTAATCTGCTTTATATCTACCCTATTTTATGTTGTTTGTAATGTGTTTAATGATAATTACAATGATTAAGGCCACAAGCCAAAACGCGTTGGTCTTAACAATAAATTGTTCTATGTACTACAAGCGTTGCTGGAGTTTTGACCTGTTGAACTGCTCATAAAATAATAGAGGCACAATTGGAGAGAGGAGACTTCAAATGACCAATGCTGGTACTTTATTTCAAAATGCCAGAAGTGTGTTGAAATGGAGATTTCCCCTCTTGATATGTTATATGGTATTTCTGTGTAATTTAGTTTAATTGTGAGTCTGTGTGTGTGTGTGGCCTTCGGAGTCTCTCTACTCAGCGGAATTGTGGATATTGTTTTAGGGTTTGCCGAGTCAAGAACACAAAGCCAGCTACTCAATAAACTTTCACCACGCACCAGAAATCCATCCTGCACCTCTCTTCCTTCCTTTGATTCCTCTGTTTTCTCACTGGAAGCCTAATTGAAACGAGTAAATAAACAAGAGCCAGAAATATAAACCAGACCAGGCCTTATCAAAGACTGTGGGCCCTTAAGTATGCTAATGTCTCATTCTTACAATAGGAACAGTCAAACATTAATAAATTCTGTCTGAAGAGAGTCCATTTTTAAAACCTGCTTGTTTTTCTGCTGCTCTTTTCTTTATTACTGCTTTCATGTGGGCACACATATGGCTACACGGCCGTGTTTGTGTGTATGTGTAAGCATCCATGTCACCTCGCAAAGGTGACTGGGGAAATGGTTTCTATACCCCAGCTTTGGTTTCCATCCTTGATCATTTCCACCCGGGGCCCTGCACTCTTTATCCATTTACACTTTGATTTTCGTGCATGTTTTGAAACAAGCAGCCTTTTGCATAATGTTCCAGCTTAATCATAGTTATTCGTTTTTCTCCATTTCCTGATGGCCTATTTAAATTATCAAATTCAATCGCAAATTCCCTCTTAAAGCTTATAGTGAAAGCAGAGGAAGAGTTCCATTGCTGTAGGAACTGCATGAGACAACAGCCTACATACTGGCCCACATATTAACTGTCTTGATGTTATCAATCAGTATTTGACTCACTGCTGTCACTTTTGTCTCACTGTGCTAATAACAATGGGGTCTTCCCTTGACTCAAAACTACTTCTAAAAGGTGGACTCACTCCCACTCTTAATTTTCACCCCCCTCTCTTTTACTTTTCATCTTCCTTTTTCTTCCCCTCTTTTTCTCTCTCTCGCTCTATGTCTTTCTCCATTTCTCAGGGACCACACATAGCATCAGTGACCTTGGCGGCCTATGAATGTGGCTCAGTGGATTTCCCCGAGCCACCTTATCCGGACCAAATTGTCTGTCCCCAGCAGGAAGCACCCACACCAGGCTCTGATGCTGAGCAGGTGGGCGTGGAGGCCTCAGGGGTGGACAGGTTGGTGGGGTCAGCAGCCCTCCAGGGAAGCATCTCTCTCTGGACCATCATCTCCAAAGTCCGCCTCGAAGCTTGCATGTGGGTGAGTGCCTGTTACACACTGGTTGTGCATCCTTTAGACTGGAAAAGCTAAACAGCAGGCAACAGAGTTAAAAATATGTCCCAGTTTTGGTTGCAGTTTGCAGTGACCTTGCACATTCACCACAGCTTTGACCAGTATTCAGAGTGTGTGCTTTGAGATATTGTTGCTGTCAGGTAAAAAACCCATATCTCCCAAATGCCAGTTTCTTGGGAGCTTAGACAAACAGTCCTGTTTTCAGATTGACCACAATGCATTTTTGAATTTATCCAGTGGGTTTGAAAGATGTCATTAGAGAAATGGTGGTAGAAACATGAAAATGACCAAACTGTACACTCCAAATTAGGTGCACAAATGATGTCTTTCTTAGTTAACATGCAATTTATGCTGTGGTATTATTTACTTACTCATTATTGTCTTTGCTGTACCTCCACAAATAAAGGATCAAGCTAGAAAGTATGCTAATTTGCAATAACACTGTGGGTGCAAATGTATTCATTGATAACTCATTTGCTTGGAAAACCCCAGTTTCTTACCGTGAATTCCCCCCATGCAGTGTTGGTGGTTTCACACCTCTAACCAGCCTTGTGGCTGCCGAGAAAGATGAAATATTTTCAATCTATGAAGTTATTTTAGGACCAGAATAAAAACGTTTTAAACATTTTTTTTTGTATTATGTAGTCTAAGTATATAAAAATAACATGCTAATTGCAAAACAATCCTTTATAATAACTCTGGCTTTTATAATCCCAGAATTTGTTTAAATTTTGGACTTAAAGGACAGCCTTCTACCTGGGTTTCTAGTTACACTCAGGTCTGGTGGTTTATCAATGACTCACACATGGCTCAGAGTTACCGTGAAACCACTCACAATGGCTTGTACACATAAAAACAAGAACAGAGATGTACCACAGTGATCTAGAAGTCACACTCCTGTATTGACTTCTTTATAACTGCAGTGTCTTCTGCTCTTATCTGTAGTTTCCTTTTTTTTTCATTGTGAAAAAGGCAGAACTGACGAACATTGAGAATAGAGAACTTGGTCAGTAACACGTGAAAAGAGTTTTATCATTCTTTGTTATCTGTTTCCCTGTTCTACATAATGTGGAAGGGGCTGAGGTGAGGATGAGGGGAAATTCTTCACAACCATGAACTTAACAGGAACCAGGCAGGTTTTTAACTGCCTGCTCTTAAATGTAATTGGCCTTCAGGCTTCCTTATTGTTAGTAATACATTAACTACACACACAAACACACTTACAAATGCAAAATTGGACACATACCCATGTTAAAAAAATGGTTTTAATTTATTGGATAATCATCCCCTTGCATACCCCCCTTAGCACCAGTCACTAGCCTGATGCTGGCAAAATATGAGTGGGACTGATTTACTATTGAGTGGTTAGTTAAAAATGAAGTTAATTTCCCACACTAATCTCCTCTAACCCAAACATTTACCATTTTCTTTACATGCTAAACTAAGCCCTAATATTAATCTAATATAAAAAATGATACTGTAATATGATATTGTGATCCTTACCTTTTATCCCTTATAATAGCTTCATGTCGTTTTATGACACATACCCCATCACATTTAGTGTGTGTAAGTGTAGGCACACCAATCCTACACGTAAAAAAGTCTGTAGGTTTGATGTATTGATGTTTCAAACTGGAGTCAAATTTTCTCTGAACCCAGCAGCAGAACCATGCCCTGAGGTGTGTTATAGGAGTCCCTGTTTGTGGGTGTGTGTGTGCCACCCAATCCCCTTGGACTCACCACCACCCTGTCACAGCCACACCCCTGTAACCCCAGCCTGGCATGGCCTCGGTTGAGGCTTGTCAGCTCTACAGTTGGAGACACCTGTTGTGCCCACCCCGGTTTCAAAGCACCCACGCCAACATTCCCCCTCCTACTGCCAGCCTCCCATCTTCTGGACACACTGGTGATGAGACATTAGATATTGCCCTTCCCACCACCACCATTACCGCTACCTCTTCTTCTCCTCCTCTCTCCTTTCTGTTTCTTCCTTTCTCTTCTGTCTTTTTTTGTTCCCTCTTGAAGCCTCTCTGTCCACTACTGCAGCTCCCTTAAGTGCTCCACTTCAAACGCCACCACTGTGCAGGTGGACATATTTCACTGCCCCCTACACAAACACACAGGCACATGCACGCTCACAAACAGAGGCAGAGCTATTGAATGGAGCAGCTGCCAGGGAGATTAGGGCATGTCTCCATTATGAGAAAAAACTGGCAGATTTCATCAAAGACTGCAGTGTTAACAACAGAACAGGGTGTCCAGATTAAAGATGCAGTCTGCCAGGTTTTGGGATAGCACCGCCTCCTGAGAATGATTGTTTGGGCTTGTTGTTGCTGCCATGGTTGCTAACTACTCACTAATCATCTTCTGGCTCAGCCATCCAGCTACATACAAGTAATGTGGCTGTGATTAGTTAGTTATGTTCTTCTGGGAGAGAGATTGAAGCTATGATTTTGTGCCTGTTCCACCTAAAGAACTTTATTTCGGTCCAAGAGCTTAATTTTTTTCATTGCTGTGGATCGTAGGATGTCAGGGATGTGTCAGAGCTTGAAATCATCCATATGCCCTCTGTAATAGTAACTAACACTAACTGTATCCTTAGCATCTTCTCTCATCCCCCCTTGCACCCCTACTCTCCCCCTGTGCCTGGAAACATTAAAGTAATGAGCTGTGAGCAACTCCAAAAACACAGCATTTCTTGGCGGCTGTTTTCATTGTGTTAATTAAGTCTGTAGCCCTCACCCCCTCACCCCTAACTCCCCCCCTCCTCATGTTTTGGCGGTATGAACTTGGTGAACCGACCAAGTGCTGAGGATTTATTTCCCTCAAATCACTTCCGCTTTCTTCCTGTTAAGCCCCCCTCAATCACACGGGCTTCACCGCTTTATAGCTACAAGCTCCTTTTGACTGTTAGATATCGATATCTTGGTTCCTTTAGACCCCCTTGGGCTTGTTAGCACTTCTTAAATTTTCCAGAAACACTGCATTCCACGTGTCCAAAGCATATTGGAACAGAGCAATTAGCGGTGCAGTGTGTTGATATGCTGTTTAGAGGTGGCATCTGGTTTTTTCACCTTTCCTAGGCCTGTGTTTTATGTATCCATGATCGTTTAATAATCTGTGGGATTTTCGCTCACGTAAATCCTTTCCGTTTTATTCCCATTAAGTGCTCTGATCGCACAATCCCAGACGTCAAGCGGTGCAAGCTCCTTTGGATAGTGGATATTGATATTTTTGCTCCATTAACCCCCCAGGGACAATGGTAACATGCTTGTTATAATAATTAGCATGATATTAAGACAAATATAGTATTTTTACAACCGAACTACTCAATGCACAATAACAAAAACACAATTTAAAGCAATGAAATCAGCCACAGCATCTAATTTAATAAAGAAATAAACAATCTGCACTGTTCAAAACAACTAACATCTCTCGCTCTCTTTTTGTTAAAGCTATGTTAAATTCAGATTTATCGCCTGCCAAAACAATATACAGTCACGTCAGGGAGTACAGTAAACATGAACAACTGAGCAACAGTAATTACGAATCTCTGTATGTGTGTGTCTGTGTCTGTGTGTTTGTATGTGAGCAGGGTGCAGGTACAGCTATAGGAGAGCTTCCTCCCTACTTCATGGCCCGGGCTGCGCGGCTGTCCGGCGCTGACCCCGACGACGAGGACTACCAGAGATTTGAGGAGATGCTTGATCAGACCCAATCTGCTCAGGTGACGCACTGCCCCCTGCATCATCTCCTTCCCTCTAACCCCCACAACACTCATCTTGTTAATCTATAACTTCTACTTCTACCTTCTTCACTTCATTCTTACCTCTCTCTTCTTTTGCACTTGCACGCTTGTTCTTTATCTCTCTGTTGTCACTTTTATCACTTTGTTTACCATTTAATTTCTAATTGCTCTGCTTTTGGCGTTCATTTATTTTCACAGTTCTGGTATTTTCCTAAATTGGCCATAGCAATCTCCCTGAAGTGAAATCTGGTGTGCCAGATTAACCACACTGTATCCTGTGTGTGTGTGTGTGTTGAACACTGATTTAGCCCCACCTCACTGTCTCAACGGTACAATGGGATTCAAGTGCTTTCACAACGTTATGACTAAGAGAACAGCAATGATGCACTCGAGTAAAATGTTCCCACCATTTCCGGCCCTTCATTTTGAAATTCCCTGCAAAAAATGTTCTCATATCAAACATCCCTGCAAATGTTTCAACAATGCCTAACAGCTCATTGTAAATATTTATTTTTCCCCCTCTTGTGATTATGAATGGAGGAGGAGGAATGAGGGGAAACATGCGTGTGGTTTTATAAAGGCTTTTCATCAGACCTGTCTGTCCTGACAGTCTTCATCCTCAGGAATGCTTTTCTCTCTCCAACAGTGTGGGTCAAACAGTCAGACAGGTCAAGTGCAGTAACACAACTGAATCCATAAATGGTTTTGAACTTTGCAACAGACTCACTTACTCTTGTATTTGCAAATAAACTGTAACAGACAGTACCAGACTGTTGACAAATACATTTTTAAAGAGAGAATCCCAGATAGCAGGGGATTACTGAGTGATTCAGATTATATTTATATTGTTTACAGTATGTATTGTACTATTCATAATGCACACAGGATTTGTAGTTTCGATGAGAACCATTCGGTACTGATAATGTAATTCCAAAGGGCAAATGAAAAACAAGGGAAAAACTTAATTCTAACCATTTCTAACCAAGTCATTTATTCTGATCTAGTCCCATACAACAAATGTGTTTTCCATGTTGTTACCTTGTATCCCTGTATGTATTGTTTCTTTATCTGTCTTTCATATGTCAAAAAAGTGTTCATTTTAAAATTACCACATTCTTTTTCTGTAAGGTGTCAAACCAATATACACAAATCATAACCTGAGCTCAGTCTGTATATAGATAGCAGTACATTTTGCCTCAACATGTTCATGACAAAACATGTCAAACAATGGAATAATATTTGAAGGAACTACTTAATAAATTCTCGCTATTTGTTTTAAATAAGTGGAACATTTTTCCAGCAAGATTTCACTTTCCAGTGTTTTCTAGAAGGAATTTGTTATCTTGTTATCTTGAAACAGAGAAAATCGCTCCATCTATACCAATAATGTTATTTGTTTAAAATATTGAGGCATCTTGATTTGTTTTGGAGATAGTTAAACACAAGAATTATAATAATTGCCACACTGAATCAGTGGTCTTCGAACAGAGGTCTGGGGACCACTACTGGGATCCCTTTTGGAATTAATAGTCTGTATAGTCTATAGTTTTTTTTAACCAGGCTGTAAACATATTTATTCCTGCTGTGAAGCTGGGCATTTAATCATGGGGGCTTCTGGAGATTGACTCACTTTTGCAGCCAGCCTCAGGCGGCTGTCGGAGGAACTGCCATTTTTGGCTTCATTTTTAAGCAGAGGTTGACTTTGGCTGGGTCACATACTCCCAAAACTATCAGTTTCCCAACTAATAATAGTTGGTCTGTAAATTGGAAACTGAATATAATATTCATAGGTATATTTTCATTAGTGTATAATCACCTGAAAAGTGTTAGAATGAGTGTTTTTTTATCTATAGAGGGAGCGAGTCCTCTTCCATGGAGGCCACCATGTTGAACCACCATGTTAATCTTTTTGCAGGTTTCGCTGCCGTCGTAGGTTCTCCTACATGCTTTGGAGGCTGAGCTGTATTCATATGGTTACAATCTGCAACTTCACCACTATGAATCCTATACACTGGTCCTTTAAATAATAATTCAAATAGTCTTTCAAAATAAAAGCATGTGAGTCCTGAGAGCACTTTGTACTCATAAATAAGATGTGCCGTATGTGTGTAATTTTATAATATATATTATAAAAGAAAATCTGAGCTGTTCGATAACAAAGGGCTGGGGTGCAGCACCTGCTGTATGGTCCACTTTTACTAATGATGTGGACAGCTGGGTAGGTTGGCACCAACCACAGCATTGGCATTCAGACCACATGTGTGAGAGTGGAGCTCTGACATCACTTACTGATAAAGTGGCGCTTCCCACCGAAAATATGAGAAAAGAGCAGAGACAGTGGAAGAGTGAGACAGATGGCGTGGGGAAGAGGACATCTTGTCTAAATGATCATCTCAGCATTGAAGAACTCCTGTGTGTCTTTTCCCAAACAAACTAACACGTTTGTGACGCAGGAGGAGCATCGTCTGTTTGTCTCGCATCCGTATGAGGGCAGATTAGAAGTGACGCTGCCTGCTGCTGTCTCAGGAGTCAGTGTTAGTCTCGCTCTCACTGAAATATTTTTTTTTTTCTGTCCCTTTCTTCGTATGCTCTTATTCTTTCTCATACACTGTGTTTGTCTCCCACTGTGCATTGCGC